TTAGACTATTCACCCCTCTCTAGCCATTAGGACCTTTCACCCCCCCCCCGGTGGCCGCCGTCGTGGCTTCCCCTGCGTTGCGTCCTCCCGGTGACCCGCGGGCGCTCAACGGAACCCTAGCTGCCTCTTCCTCGCCGGCGGCAGCACCAGCCCTCAGTACCCTCCTCCTCCTCCTCCACGCACCTCCCCCTCGGGCGCCGCCACCGAGTGTTGCGCCAGTGGCGCGGGTGGCCGCCCCCCGCCGAGGGGGCCCCGATGGCCGCCGTCCCCGGCCACGACGTGACCGAGCGAGCCCTCCCGGTGGTTGACGGCACGGATGCCCCCTTCCATAGGCATGTATGACATTGTGATTTGTTGTTCGCACATCTTCTTCCTGGGTAAAAAAACTAATCAAAACCGTTGTTTCAGTTTTAGCTGTGAAGAGAACCATTGCATCGTTTGAGTGCTTTGTAACCACAGCAGGTTCGTTAACATGTTCTGGTTGCCCATGTGTACCAGTTCCAGGTTCTCATCTATTTGGATTTTGTAGTTATGAGTTTGTCGATGCGTATGTGAGTTCCACTTAAATGAAATAGCATGAAATGATTGTGCAATTTCCAAACATAAATTCTAATTTACATCCTGCACAAACTTTTGTCAGCTCGGTGTTAGAAACTATCATGTGTAAAAAAAATATTTGAACCATTGTCGTAGCTTAGTGATAAATGGATAGCTGGACCATCAAGGTCCAGTTCGAGATTACCCTTTTCCATAATTTTTTTTCTAGTTTAGTGTATTCAAATTGAATCTATGCTTCTGTGCATGACATATCTATATTTAGCTCCTAATATTATTTCCATGCAGAGATTAAACATATTTTTTACCTGCGTCTTAATCAGTTGATTTGCCGGCGCGCGCGATGGCTCGCGCGTAATGGACTAGTGTGTTTTACTTTGGATGAAATTTACCGGCGATCCATGTACTTGCACGGCGGTGTTATCTGAGTCGGCTTGTCAGTCCAAAAATTATCGGTAGGTTTATCAGCTATAAAAACTATTAGCTGAACAATTCATTATATTATAATAACTTGTTTGTTAGATATATAACTTGATGAATAATTAAGGGAATGTTTGGTTCACTCTTCACCTCCTAAATCTAGTCTCATTTAGTCACTTTTTACTCAAACACTTTGACTAAGTGAGCTTTAGCCAATTAATCACTCAAATATTGCTAAATGAGACTAAACATCACCTTTTAGTCAGGCTGCCTCACCTTTTAGTCACTTTGAAGCCAAACACCCTGACTAAAAGTGATTAAAAGGCATCTTTTAGTTCATCAAACCAAATATAGGGTGACTATAGTTTAGGAGCTAGTTTAGGTGCCTAAACTTTAAGAGATGCAAACCAAACAAGCTCTAAGATGTAAAGATGTAAAGTTGAAAGTATAAGTTATATCCGAGAAATTAGATGTACAAATCAATATCATAACATATTAGCAGAAATATGAAGTAATATACGAAAATAACTATGTATAAAATTGTAAAAAAAAGAAGAAAAAAAGAAATGTTCGTACATGTGAAGCCATGCCATGGAATGAATCCGAGCCACGGTAACAAGGGAGAATTCCTTTAAAAAAGACCGTAATGCTCTGTGTGCCTCTAGAAAAATTCAGCGGTCTTCAGCGCTACTGTTCTAACTTTTTTGTGCCCTCTATGTCACTGTCGTTAGCTTGGGCTCTAACGCCGTGAAGCTGCAGGTGTGAAAAGTTAAAAATACCCTGAAGTGTAAATATGTCATTAATTTTTTTAAGTATCTTAACAATTTTAAATGAAAAAATTCAAAACTAGAAAGTTATAGATCTCGTCGAGATCTATAATTTTTATATAAAAATTATCTCATTTAATTCCACAAAAAAAATGATTTGATATGATTAATATATCTTAGAAAAATCATATCTTTTTTTGTGGAATTAAATGAAAATAATTTTTATATGAAAATTATAGATCTCGACGGGATCTACAACTTTCTAGTTTTGAGTTTTTTCATTTGAAGTCGTTAAGATGCTAAAAAAAATTAATGACATATTTACACTTAAGGGTATTTTCGATTTTTCACACCTGCAATTTGGTGGCGTTAGAGCCCAAACTGACGGCAGTGGCATGGAGGGCACAAAAAAATTGAAGCAGTGATGCTGAAGACCGCTAAACTTTTTCAGAGACACACAAGGTATTACGTTGTTTTTTAATGGCACACAGCGAATTCCCAGTAGGCCTCACATCCGACGCACAGGAAACGTGGAAAGACAGGATCGGAAGGCTGAGAAATCATGTGTTGAGAGCAAATAAAACAACCGATTGAGCTTTAGCTTTTTCCCTTAATTTACTGATTTCTAAATTTGACCGCGCTGCAGGATCTCTATGGGCTGTTCATTTAAATTTATCGTCCGATTTATCAGTTAAAATCTATAGTATTTTTCTTCCACAACAAAACAGCTTTGATCGGCTTATCAGCCGGCTTTAATACCAGCCGAACAGGTCTCTAGTTTTCAAATTTTGATTTTTAAGTCCAGGAATTTGTACAGTAGTGTCATCGAGGCCCTAAACTTGCACATCAACACATAGTTTTTTTTTTGAAACACACATCAACACATAATTAGCATGACAGATTAGTGTTATATGTGTGTTGACATACAAATTCAGGGACCTGACACCTTTATACAAGGTAAAAAACTGCATACTCAACCTGTTCGCTTGCTCGTAAACGATCGTAAATTTCCAGCCGGGAACAGTGTTTTTCTCTCACACAAAACCAGCCAGCAGTAAATAATCCACGATACGATACGGCCTCCCGAACAGGCTGTAAATTTTATTCTTTTACTTTCTCCAAACAATGTTAATGGTCAATCACCTTCCAAAAAAGAACGGTCGATTTTTCTTCATCATGTAATAAGTTGTCCATGTGCCTGACGGAACCCACGATGAGGTTTAAGGCATACAGGGACAATACTACAATTATGTGTTTCTTATTCTTATTCATTTCTACTATATTTCAGGTGTCTAAATTTTAAGTTAATTTCAGACAACACTCTTGTACTACCAACTACTACAAGTAAATTGTTACTTTTGTTATTTGTTATTTATCTTTGTGTCATAACACATTAAATTTTTGTCCTTGTCTTCCTATAGAAATTATTGTAAATTATTAATTGTTTTTGTGCCAACACAAATCAGATTTTATCGAATTTGTAGTTTTGTCTAATGGTTTTTTATTCTCGGTAAAAAACCAATTACGGATTGCACCTTTCGAAATTACGGTGAACGGAAGCTGCAATTTTAATATAAAATATATGCAATAATCGTCGCATGAAATAAAACTAAAATTCAGGCACTTGAATTTTAGCAAATCTCATTCTTATTAGGGCATTTTTCTATCACATGCTTCTCCTTTCCACGGAAGGTTAGGTGTTTAGTAGTAGAAGATCGGATCATAGCCACTTTACATGGCTCGCTAGTACGTTGGATCGAGTTTGGATCATGATACCTTTTTTTTCGAACACATGATACCCAATTTAACCTAGATTTTTTTTAATCTAAAGTAGGAAAATCCAAAAAAATCACATGACCCAACTCCGGTCACAGCTCCTCTGTTACAATGGTGAGGCCTTGGAGTGCGCGACACCGGTGAGGACGACGCGGTCGCGAAGGAACGAGGGGGGAGTAGGCAGGATGACAGCGTTAGAGAGGCACTGACGAAGATGGCAGCATAGGACATTGGCGAGGATGGCGGCGCGAGGGATGGTGAGAAGCAGGCACTGCGATTGCAGATCGACGGGACAAGCAGAGGTACAATTTGATTAGGAACTTGTTTAGTTGGCTAAATTTTTTGAGAAATGATATTGTAGCATTTTGTTGTTATTTGATAATTAGTGTTCAATCATAGTCTAATTAGGTTTAAAAGATTCGTCTCGTGAATTTCGTCTAAACTGTGTAATTAATTTTATTTTTTATTTATATTTAATGCTTCATGCATACGTCCAAAGATTCAATGTGACGAGAAATCTTGAAAAATTTTGTAAAATTTTGAAAACTAAACAGGCACCCGGAAGAAACACCGAAAAGAATATGCATATACGAGGATAACTAGTGAGTAAAACTAATGACAGGCAGGTCCCACACGGACGATGTGAAGAATGCTATCCTTCTCTTTCCATCTCTCGTAATAAATAGAAAGTTAAAATTGACTCGTCTTTGTAACAAACATGAAACAAAATGATCCCATCTCAAAAGGCGATGAAGCCCTCCTATATCCAAAACCACACACATGCTTTCGTAAAGAGGCATCGTTTTCTCGCTCTCATACCTCACACCACGCAGGCATGCACAGGAGTTCCCAGCACTCGTCACGCACAGGTTTTGCCAAAGGAGTTACATCTTTTGCGTTCTGCCCTTCCTTGTTCAATCTATTCCATGGCGTCCACAAACCTCTTTTCTAGGAGAATTTGATAAACCATGCTGCACCTCTACGTGCTGATCGCCGATGGCCGGGAAGCAACATTCGGCATGTTCGTTGGTTGGTTTCTGAGTTGATTTGGACTGACTAGTACTGGTTTATTGTGAGAGAAAAATACTATTGACGGGCTGGTTTGGGCTGGCCGAAACAAACGATGGGCCTTGGACACAAATAGCTGCGGCGGAGTCTGGGACCCAGCATCCGTGTCATCAGCGAAGCGCACACGCGTCGCGTCGCGAGGTCAGGTGGGCTCTCAGGTCCGGAGCCATGCATGCTCCACCCGTCCACCGAATTTTTTCTTCTCAACTATGCGTCCTCAGCCATGCACAACGACACGTGCGACGCCCTCACACTCACCTGTCGCCCTATATCCGCCGCCCCACCGGCGTCCGTAGTACTAGAAAGCACTGTACTGTTTACGGAGCTGACCGAGAGAGAGAGAGAGAGAGAGAGAGCGATCGAGCAAGTTAAGCTTGGAAGAAGCCAGCGCGCGTGATGGATCGCGTTGCTGTGATGGCGCCATCGCGGCTCGTCCTCCTCCTCCTTCTCCTATCTCAGTGCTCGGCGGCAGCTCCACGGCACGGCGCCGAGGGCTGGTGGGAGGAGGGCGAGGGGGAGTGGAGGCCGGCCGAGGAGGAAGACAAGGGCAAGGGGAGGGGCCTGTTCGTGCTGGACCGGCTGGAGAAGGTTGTCGAGTCGGAGGGCGGGCAGGTGCGCGTGGTGCGCGGCCAGCCGTGGCCGCCGTCGGCCTTCGCCTGCCGCGAGGGGCTCATGCACATCGGCTTCATCACCATGGAGCCCAAGACGCTGTTCGTGCCGCAGTACCTCGACTCCAGCATCACTCTCTTCGTGCACCGGGGTATGCACCGCACGCTGTTATTGTTTCACGTTCACACGTGCGAGAATAGAACACGCCATGGATTTTTTTTTGTTATATTTAAATGGTTTCATTTCTGGCAACGTTAATTAGCGATAGATCAATCGCGGAGGCTTGTGTTACCGATCGATGAGATGGAACCGTGGTGTGTATTATGATAAGCAGGGGAAGTGAAGGTTGGGTATATTCACAAGGACGAGCTCGTGGAGAGGAAGCTCAAGATGGGCGACGTCCTCCACATCGACGCCGGCTCCACCTTCTACTTGGTCAACACCGGCAAAGGCCAGAGGCTACAGATCATATGCAGCATCGACGCCTCCGATAGCCTTGGCTTTGGACCTCCTTATCAGGTCGCTGCATATATATCTCGTCATCTTCCTGTTTTTGTTGCAAGAGAACACGTATTGCAATCTGCAAATCTCGCACTGATGAACCATGATCCAATGCAGGCCTTCTACCTCGGCGGCGCAGGGCACCCGGCGTCGGTCATCGCCGGTTTCGGACCGAAGACGCTTACCCATGCCTTCAACGTGAGATATACTACTAATCTGATCTGAACAGTTCGCATCGTGCTCTAAGGGATACATACTACGAGTAGTAGTACCATGTGTGCATAATTTGCATGTCTTTTTGTACATAGGCCACCTACGACGAGTTGGCAAGTATCCTGATGCCACGAACCGGCGGCCCCATCGTGTACTACACCGCGGACGTGGAGCCCGAGACCGGTGGCGGCAAAGCGGAGCGTGGGCAGGGCGACGTGCACGATGATGTGCTGGACAGGGGAGCCAGGTGCGAGGGTGCTGGCGCGTGGAGGCCGGTAGGCAGGGGAGACGAAGGCGACGAGTGCGGCAGCGATGACGCACGGCGGCCGACGTGGTCGTGGAGGAAGCTGGTGAACAGGTTCATCGGAGGGGCGGCGGGCGGCGGCGTCACCGCGGAGGTGAACAAGAAGGGCAAGAAGAAGGGGGGCGCGCCGGAGCCGTACAACCTCTACGACAGCGAGCCCGGGTTCCGGAACACCTACGGCTGGACCGTCTCCGTCGACAAGCACCAGTACGAGCCCCTCAAGCACCCCGACATCGGCGTCTACCTCGTAAACCTCACCGCGGTGCGTGCGCGCCGTGAACCGACCGACCGACTTCTTGTTGGATCCCCTTTTGCGAACACGATTCGAGAGATCGGGGATCGAACGCACAGCCAATTAAGCTGATCATCATTCTGTGCCTGCTGCATCTGCATGATTGACAGGGGTCGATGCTGGCGCCGCACGTGAACCCTCGGGCGACGGAGTACGGCGTGGTGCTGGGCGGGGAAGGCACCATCCAGGTGGTGTTCCCGAACGGCTCGCTGGCGATGAGCGAGGTGGTGCGCCCCGGCGACGTGTTCTGGATCCCGCGCTACTTCCCGTTCTGCCAGGTGGCGTCACGGGGCGGGCCCTTCGAGTTCTTCGGCTTCACATCCTCGGCGCGCCGCAACCGGCCGCAGTTCCTGGTCGGCGCCTCCTCGGTGCTCCGTACGATGCTCGGCCCGGAGATCGCCGCCGGTTTCGGCGTTCGCGAGAAGGAGTTCAGTAAGCTGGTGCGTGCGCAGAGGGATGCTCTGATAATGCCGTCGTTCCCCGCGTCGGGGAAGGAGGAGGAGGAGGAGAAGCATGGGAAGAAGAAGGGGAGGGAGGAGAAGCACGGGAAGGGGGAGGGGAGGAGGGAGAGGGAGAGGGAGAAGCCACTGCCGCTGGTTGTCGAGCAGGTGGCGGAGGAGTAAGCTGCTTGATCTTCAGTGATCGCCACGAGTGTTTCCTGGACTCTTGCTGCACCTTGTCAGCGATCGTGTTTTGTTCGTGGCGCCGTCTATAAATAAAGTGATTTGTGCGTGTACAGCTACGAAAACGGGATTATCATCCATGCAGGCACGCAGATTCGAAAGTCGAGCAATGCAGTCATGCTTTTGGTATCAGGAATCAGGATCTGGAATTCAGCGTCGGTATAGCGTGTACGGCGAAACCAATGATGCACAATGGCAAACCACTTGAACTTTTGGTTGATCTACAAGTTACGATTTATTATGAACAAGAATGACACTACTGAGACTTGTGTATACCTCCGAGAACCGAGCGAACGAACGCCAATGCTACCGGCCGGATAATCCAAGCAGAAATGATTTACATAAAATTGGTAAATTTTCGGTCTCTCGAAATTTTGCTAAAATCCACGCACGCCAATGCGAGTACTCAACCTCAACCATCAGCTACGCTTGTTCCTCAGAGAGATTCATGATGCCATCTGCATGCAGCTCAAACTGGCAGAACTGTTCGTCTTCAGCAACGGAAGCAGAACGCAAGCCCAAGCGCGCTTCCAAGTCTGCCAACACCGCGAAGCCTCGGAAGTCGGAAAGATGGTAATCCCGCCCAGAGACAAACGGTCACTGCGGGACCAGGACGCCCAGCCGAACGGGCTCCTCCGGCGAGAGCGCCTCTCTGCCGAGGTGCTTCCACGAGACTACCACGCCGCGCTTCACCGCGGCGGCGTACACGGCCATGACGTCGGCCCACCGCCCCAGGAGCGTTTCGAACGCATTCCGTCCTGGCACGAAGTCCCTCACGATCATCACAAGCAAGAGCACCTGCAGCGCGTCGCGGACCCTGCCACGGTCACAGAGGGCGCGCACCACGTCCGTGTAGGCGCGCTTCCGCAGCGCGTACCCCTTGCGCACCATATCCTCCAGGAGCGCCACGGCCGCGTCCATCTCGCCACCGCGCGCCAGCGCCTGCGCCATCAGGAGTACGTGTAGGAGACCGGCTCGTGGCCCGAAGCCACCACCTTCGCGAACACCTCCTTGGCGTCGCCAAGGGCCGAGACGTCCGTCGCGCACCGCCGGCACAGGCCCCGAGCCAGCGTGTCCAGCGCGCGCCCGTCCACCTCGAACCCAGCGCGCTCCATCCGCTTGTACGTCTGCCACGCCGCTGAGGTCTCGCCGGCGCGGAGCAGCGCCGTCAGCACGATCCCGAAGCTGATCTTGTCTGGCGGGCAGGCGGCGTCGTCGCCGCACATCTCCATGAGCAGCGCGAACGCCTTGAGCGGGTTCCCCTCCTTGCAGTGCCCGTTCAGGAGCGCGTTGTAGGTGAATATCGTCGGCGAGAGGCCCATCCCGATTGCATTGTGGAAGATGGCTGTGGCCTCCTCCGTCCGGTGGCGGTCGTAGGATTTTAAGGGTCCTCTAGAGTATAGTTGGCCAAACGAGCCGTTCGGCACGGCATTAGCACGGGCACGGCTAGGCACGGCACTACGCGGCACGGTAGACTAGCTGTGTCGTGCCTGTCAGTGCCGCCGTGCCGAGGTGCCGGCCCAGGCACGGCACTATTAGGTCTTAGCCGTGTCGTGCCGTGTCACTGGGCACGACGACCCAGCAGTGCCCGTGCCGTCACTAGCACTATAAGTGATCAAACACCTCAAACTGATAAAAATATCAGGGACAAGTTCATCATCTTAAACACCTCAAACAGATCAGAATATCAAACACCTCAAACACTTCATCTCAATTTTAAGTTACAAGTTCAGAGAACTTATCAAAGACTCAAAGTTACATGTTCACAGAACTTATCAAAGACTCAAAGTCACATAATCACACAAACACAGGCAGAGAACAAGGGTTAGGGTTAGGGTTAGGGATCCATCCATCGCCACTGGTCGGCGCCCCGACCCCTCAACGGCTTCAGACAAAACAAAACAAGGGTTAGTAGAGATTGAGGGTTAGGGTTAGGGATTGAGCAAGGGTTAGGTCGACGGCGACTTACCTTCAAAACCGGAGCACCAGAGTCACCGGCGAGGTCGACGAGGCATGGATCCGGCCAGGAAACCGATGGATCCGGCGAGGTCGACGACAAATCCGACGAGGAAATCGACGGATCCAGCGAGGAAACCGACGGATCCGGCCAAGAAACCGACGGATCCGACGAGGTCGACGAGGGATCCGACGAGGACGAAGCGAGATCAAGGGTTAGGGTTAGGGATTGAGCAAGGGTTAGGATTAGGGATTGTGCCAGTGCCGGCCAGCGGTGGCTCCAGAGGCCACCGGAGAGCGAGAAGAAGAGAGAAAGTCGGAGGCGAGAGAGGAGAGCGAGTCACCGACGCGGCGACGCTGACTCGCCAAGAGAGGAGAGCGAGGCGAGATAGGAGCGGGCGAGACGGCGCTGCGGGGGAGAGCCGAGAGTGAGGCGAGAGAGACAGAGAGTGAGAGCAAATGAATTAGGGCAACGAAGACGTGGCCGGCCGCCCGAGACAGGTGGTTTTATACCCCCGATTCCAACTGCCGAATCCAACGGTCCGATGAGAGCGAGGCCGGGGATCCAACGGCCACCTGCGGCCGAGCCATGCCGCTGCCGGCCTGGCCCATATAGCGTGCTGTGCCCGGGCCGGCACTACGGGCCAGAATGGCGGTCCAGGCACGGCACTAAGGCCGGGCCGTGCCAGGCACTGGCATGAAGGCCGTCGGGCGGGGCCGTTCCTGGGGCGTGCTAATTAGTGTTGTGCTTGGGCCGGCCCGTAGTGCCCGGGTCAAATGGCCAACTATACCCTAGAGCTCGTCGCAACGGTCTCTCTCGACCATATATAAAATCTTATACTTATAATATATAGGCACTAATTTTACTTGCAAAACGAAAGCAAATTCAATAACATATTTTTAATTTAACATGTCTGATAATTATTAAGAAACAATGTAAATTAAGTAATGTATTTGTAGATGTATGATAATTATCGAGGAACAATGTAGATTAAAAAAACAATATATTCGTTTTCTTTTCTCACCCATGACAAATGTTTCGTAGGTAACATTCTAAAATTCTAACACCTAAATTAGAAGAAAAATATGACTATATGGGTACAAAGTACAAGAAGTCTGGAATACTATACAAATAATTAATTTAGATTAAAAATAAAAAGAAAAAAATACCTTGAGCCTAAACAATTGATCGGTGATCGCAATTCGTAAGAAGCTAAAAATCAAGATGTCGTCGCCGTGGAGCCCTGTCTGGTAGCCGTCCTCGTGAGCCGTGTCCGTGTCTCCGGTAGTCTAGCTCTTCGCTGCGGCGCGGCTCACCAGCTCCGCGTGTGTAAGGCGCACGTCGCGAACTCACGATCAGAATGTGCTGTGTGCAGGGTGACTCCTTAGCTCCTCTCTACCCGAGGGCCGTGGGGAAAGGAAATTAGGAAAGAAATGCCGATGTTATCTTTTTGGCCGCCTGCCCAGTTTTATGTCTCTCTTCTTATTAGTTTGCTAATACATGATGGACTATGGCTCTGTTCGCTTATTTTATAATTCGTATTTTTCAACCTGTTTTTTCAGTCGTAAGAGCGTTTTTCTCTCACAGTAAATCAACCGGAATAATATTTTGGTTTTTTTTTCGCGAAGCAAACGGGCCTATCGGTCTCGGGGGGTTTGTATACATGGATTGGGCCCTTCTCTCAGCTAGGCGTCGGCCGTCGCACCTCGTGCCCTACCATAGGGCCGGCACTGCCTCCGTCCGCCCGACCTTGCAGAATCCGTCGAGCACGATGGTGAAGGTGTAGATGTCGGGAGTCATGGGCGAGTCCTTGAGCTTGTTGAGGAGGTCGAGCGCCTCCTCCAGCCGGCCCACGTAGCAGAGCCCGCCGACGAGGCTGTTGTAGGTGCGGATGGTCGGCTCGCACCCGAGCGCGCGCATGGCGTCGAACACCTCCATGGCCTTGGTGACGCGTCCGCGCTTGCAGAGGCACCCCACGACGGCTGAGAACATGGCGACGCTGGGGCGGAACCCGCGCGCCACCATCTCGTCGAGCGCGAGCTTGGCCTCGTCGGGCGCGCTCTGGCGGCAGAGGCACGGCACGGCGGTGGCGAAGGACTGTGCGTCGGGGGCGACGGGCATGGCGCGGAACAGCGCGACGGCCGTGGCGTGGTCCCCCGAGCGAGCCAGCGCCGAGAGGATGTCGTTGTAGTCGGAGACGGTGAGCGCGTCGTCGTCGCGCGGCAGGAGGTCGAGCACCTTCACCCGCTCCTCGACGGGCAGCTCCATGATCCGCTTCGCGCAATCCCGGGCGCAGAAACGCGACCTCTTGCCCCTGCCGTCGCCGCCCGGTCCGTCGGGGCGCGAATCGAGGACCTGCGGCGGTGCTGCGTCTCCGTGGAGGGTGCCGTTGCCGTTGGACTGTAGAGCGCGGGGGAGCTCAGCGTCGTGGTCCCGGACCGGTGCTTTGCAGTGGCGCGCGAAGGCGGACGGAGCCGCCGCGTGTCGAGGGAGGGCGCTGACATGGTGGGAGGAGGACGGCACAGCGGGGAGCCGCGAGGAGGGGGGCGGCGCGCGAGGGGGCTCGGGGGCCGTGAGCTGGTGGGGCGGGGAGAGTGGTACCGAGGTGTGGTGGACGACGTAGAGGGAAGCCATGGTGGAAAGGGCGTGTGTGGGAGGCGAGCTGAGCAGATGTGGTTTGGAAAGCGAGAGAACTAGTGGCTCTCGATCGATGCAACGCAAAGCAATCTATTCTGCTACAGTGCTACTGATGAAAAACAGAAAAAGCGCGGAGCGCTTTACGTCCGGACCGCAGTTTCGGCGTCCCTCCCCCGCACCTGCGCGCCCCAGCATTCACAGCCCCGGCAGCACCCACCACCACCACCACCTCCAACATCGGACTCGACGTCGACATTGATAGCGCACAGGAGTTGTTTGACGGAATGCCCATGAGGTAAACAGCGCGTCCTTTGGTCTCCATGTGTATGCCATGAATTTCAGATACTCAGAAGCAGGAAATTCACTCATTTGCCAAAATGTTTGCGGCTTTGCTTATCTCTTGATGTGGCCTGTGGGTCTTTCCATGATCCAACTCTTGGTTTTCATTTCCATGAGCCTGTGACAACGATGCAACTCATAGTTTTGGTCCTCTGGTTCGTGGCCATCTTAAAGTTGATTTTGGAGATATTGATGGGTTAAAATCACACCAATATGGCGCTTAATTTGTCTGTCAGTTTCATTCACTCACAAATTATGCTGTTCTACATCTATTTGTATTTCCAGTTTTGTTCTCTTCAGGGTCAGTTGAATACATCCTGCTATATGATTATGAAGCTGAATAGCTAATATATTATCTATGTGGTTTTGTTGGCATATTTTGCTAGGCTATTGAAAATTAGGATTCTATGATGCCAAGCCAAGCCATAGGGAGAAACATGAATCTTGGTCTTCAGGCTCTGGCTCACCGATGCTGATCACATCCTCATAAGAAGGCAGCCAAGGTCCTTAGTTTTTTTTTGGGTGCATATTCCTGTTAAGTTTGGCACTTGAATGGATTACATTACTTGCTATTGTTGATTTTCAAACTGTACATGCACAATTGACTTAGGCAAGGTTGTGCCTAGATCTAGCATTATCCAAAGCAAAGATAATTGTAGCTTGTTATTTAGTTATTCTTTGTTCTTCTATCTCATTCTTTTCTTGTAAATTTGGAAAGGTCAATTGGGCTTAGCTGGCTATATGCAAGATTGTTATTCAGATGCATTAGCTAATCCATCATTGTTTGCTCTGATGCTGGCCTGCTCTGTACAAAGATCTACAGTTTCAGTTAATTGCTATACATTTTTCCTTCAGCACATTATGGTTGTTCATCTCTGAAAAATTTTGTAGGGTTGTTAATATGGAATAATTTTGGTTCTGATCCATGCCTGTGGTGCATCACTCGTTTTGTGTTCCTGTTATGTCATCCATATTTTCCACTAAGCTACTTTTGTAAAAAAAAAATTCAACCCCTTCTTGCACCCCAAGAAAAATCTAATAAAAGCTCAGAAAATAAGTAGTCACACAAGCACAGATACTCTTATGTGCTACTCCCTCCGTTCCAAATTATAAGTCACTTTGTCTTTTTTGGTACATCGAATTTTCTATGTATCTAGACATAATATATATCTAGATACATAGCAAATTTGGTGTACCAAAAAAGTCAAAGCGACTTATAATTTGGAACGGAGGGAGTAATATTTAATCTTAACAATACAAAAGAAGGGATTGATGACATCATTCGGCTATGCTTTCTTTATCTTGTGGATATGTGTTTCCACCATTGCTGATTTTAGGACATCACCATACCACTGCCCAACTGTTTATTCAGTTTTACCTACTGTAAAAAATACAATGCATGCAGCTAGAGTTTTTATTCCTTTAGCTTTTGCTATGCTCATTGCCAAGTCATATCATGATAGGTTCTCAACTTGGTGATGAAAAATTGTTGATTATGCCTACTGAGAATGAAGAATAGATTTGTCAATAGGAAGCACGTAGAGAAAATGAAATCACACATCTGTTTTTAGGAAGAAAGGCAGTATATGTTATGAAGGAAGCTTAGAGAACTTTTGAGCCGTGCCTTGTGAAACAGATTATGATATTGTCATGCTTTATCAGATGCCACTCATTCTTTAAAGTGTTGTCATTTTGTTTGACAATGCTTGAAGGTTGTAGGTGACAGGGGACTCAAGCTACTGCTAGCGACCTTCATTTTTAGTGTCATTGTAAGTGCTAACCTATGAAGAATCAACTAATTGATTTGGGCCTTGATGTTATCATTGAATTTGAAGGTTCCTCAAAATTTTCCTTTCTCTAGGGTTTCCTGAATTTTCTTAAATCATTGTTAAAAGGCTCAATCTTTCAAGATATTTTTGGTCAAATATATTCTACATGGTCTAGCGAAGTTGTGATTTCATTTTCATGTCAATTGGAATTGGATTTGTTTTTGTTGATTTTGTCAAATAGATGGAGCTGCAGTTTTCTCTGTTTAGTCTCCAGCAACAGCTTGTGATCTCTTTGTTTTGTTTTTTAGTGTTTCAGTCTAGCAGCAGGTCAACTCTCCTTTCATTTGTTTTTCAGTGTGCAGTCTACAGCAGCACAACTCTCCTTTCATTTTCAGACCAGTGGTAGCAGTTTGCTCAACTCGATTTCATTTTCTCTTTGTGGTACTATAGCAGCAACAGCTCGACTAGACGACAACTTTCTATTTTGTTGCCCAGCAATTCGACAACAGCAAAGCTAATAGATGCAGCATCTCAGAATTCTTCTCAATTGGTCAGCTCGACAGGAGCCACAGGTTAAGTGCAACAACATTCCATTCTTTTGCTTGCATGCTTAGCCAATGGTACTCTATGCTGAGGTTGCTTGTTTTTTCAAGCACTATAGACTAATCATTGCCTCCTTAAGCTTTAAATATTACTTCAATCGTTGTGCCTGTTCTATTTTGTTCTCAATGCAATATTAGTACTTACTTTAGTTAGCTTTTACAACGAGTCCTATAGCAACCTGGTAGCATTTTGTTGTGCATGTTAATGAGTTTAAAAGTGCTATCAGTTTTTTTTTGTTTCATCATTTTCCTTCCTCAATGATTTGAGAAATGCATAATCGTTACTAGGGTTACACATCATTAACTAATATAAGATGTGAAATCTTGGCAATTTCAAGAGAGGTATGTTGGGTTTAACTGGGATATAGGCCAAGTTCTTCCCCCACGAAGAATTTTAGCTGCTACCATTCACGATTCACCCTCCCCCTCTAGATGCCATTTCAGTCCTTCAAACTATATGATAATAACATGAGAACGGTTACAGAGGCTGAGGAATCCAATTTTCCCTGTTTTCTGTTCAGAATATGCAGATGGAGGAGCATTGATACTACAGAAAACAACTGTGCTTGTCCCAGAAATTTCATTCCTGAGCTATTGCCACCGAAAGTTCTTGTTCTCTCTATAAGATGCTCAATCTTTTACTTAAACATCGCAAGGTTTATAACTCTATATCGTAGGATAAATTTTGTGGATTACTGATTTGCAAATAAATGGCCAGTGTAATTTCAGCGCCGCTTTCCTCTGCGTCTTGATGTCTGGTTAGTCTAGAGAAATTGCAGTGCAATGGTAAAATAAGCTTATTTGCTTTCCATTTTACCTTCCCACAGTTATAATCAACTTCTCATGGAACAGTTGCAATGGCCAGTGTATTATTGCTTGTAATGTCTTGCGTCATTAGAAACAAATATTCCACTTCTCATGGAACACTTTTAGCTTTGATACTTTACTTGTTTTGAAATATTATTAAAATGACTCTACCCATTTCAGGGTTGAGCAAATGGAAACTGTATCTACTCGATGAAAGCCTAAGCATGTAGAAAGATAAAACACTATCTTGTTGATGCCCGGTGGCACAAGATAGGGAAGACAAAGCACCTTGGTTGTAAAAATAATGGTGCTTTATATGACCACTACGATGTGCTTTATAAGAAAAATAACGGTGATTAAGTTAAACCATAAATAGGGCTATATACTACTAACTTGTTCAAATCAGAGAAATAGAAGCTATTTTACTCATGTGGCTATATGTAATATCACAATGAAGTAGCTCTTTGTATCTTTTCCTTTTTACATGAATCATACATCTATGTAGTTCTGTGCTTGATTGCCAAGAACGTCTTTGTTGTTGCAAAAAAACTATGAAAGAGAGTTATGGAGAACTTATCTATCATGCACTTGTTTTGACATTGTTACTAAAATTGACACTTATTTTCTTGAACGTGACTCAGTATGTTGCTAAGCTGAGTTAAACTTTATTTCTCTCGACACACTATCTTTTCCCCACATTATTATTTATTGCATTAAAAATTTTAAGACCTCGTAGCTACGCACCAGCATTTACTAGTTACAGGCACAAGCCGCACAGGCATATAACGCACGACGTCAATCTTGGAGGCCCAGATCCTTGTTTCAATAATATGTTGCTAATGGGTTCCGTGATAAGGTGGGAATGTGGACCCTAGGCCTTCATGGTCTCTCGTGAGCAGGTCATGGGCTTGGTCCCTCATGGCCTGTACCACCCCGCGGCACACAAAAAGGATGGAAAATCACCACAAAGAACTAAATAATTATTCAAATTATTTTTCTATGGATTTCCCATTTTTGAAAAAGTCAGGGATCCCAAGAGGATTTGAGTTTCCAAATTAGCCCTAATAAGGCTTAGCCATTGGAGTCCCATGGTCTCTCTCATCTGACTTTTCTATGCACTATATATACTATGACTATTATTATTTTTATGACTACATATTATACTTGTATTGTACTCGAAGTTACTTAAGAGTAACTCTAGTTCCTACTTGAACCCTCATCTTATTTTTTAGTGCTTGAAGAAAAAAAAACTGCACTTCAGCATGGCCCCCTCCTACCCTTCATTGCTAGGGGCCCTGTAGAGAGCCCTCAAATTTTCTATTGGCATTGTTTTCATGCACGTGCTCGCTCCACGCCGCAATGGTCTCCTCCCCTTGCGTGTCGTGACTCCTACTAGAGCTCTCAAATACCCCTCATACCCTCCATTGCTAGGGGCCTGTAGAGAGCCCTCAAATCTCTATTGGCGTTGTTTTCATGCACG